TCCCACATGCTCTTGAAACCTTTCCACTGTACTTATTTCTTCACCAATTATTTGTTAGAGAGGAAAGGATGTATGCCTGGATTATAGACTCTGCACAATAATTTTATGTCATTAAGTGTTTGATTAAATGTTTTGATAATAATGTGGTTATAAATGCAAGTGGTGGGGAATGATTTGGTGGAGATTTACATTTGCTTTTGAAGAGTCTTTGTGCTCAAGGACTAGAATTTATAATGCCTAAGTCATTTATCAGTAAAATGATAGTTTACTAACTACTTTTTTTTTTACTTCTCCATTTTTTTCTCCTTTTTTTTGGTTGGTAGTGGTGGATTTTTTTATTGTTTTCACAGACCAACTGCAAAATATTGCCTAAATTGATGGTTGGATGGAAATCTAGTACTCCCACTTCTGGGCCCAGAAGACATTTGGAAGAATAAAGGCATTTTAAAAAACAAACCCAGGGCTAAATCTAAATTCAACTGCATAGAACTTGGATGTTTTCTAGACACTTTTGAAGGACCTTACTCTAGAAAATCCCTAATGGTGTGAAGAGGTCCAGGCCAAACACAAATCCTTCACTAAGTATTGTGAAATCTCATCATGTAATAGCTTGAAATGTTGTCCAAAATACCCATGTTGAGAAGCAGTTTGACAATATGTGATTCACCAGCTTAGACTCACTTTGGCTTTGTTCCGTGTTCCACAGCTCCTCTGGAATGTATCCCAGATTTTCACTACCATTCCTTTGCCTGTTTACTGGATCACCATCTTTTTTCTTCTCAGCTGAAACTTTTCTAAAAACACAAAGGCCTGTCGTTAGAAATTCCTTGTGATAGGAGAACTCTTGGGTAGCAGACCACAGAGGAAGAAAAGCATATGTTTAAATTCCAAGAAAATAGGTGCAAAACATATCTGGGCATTCCAAGTCATTAGCTGGTACAAATCTTGTTCCATACAAGTATTACCCATGAAATTCAGTTTGGAAAGTTCCCATCAGCTCCAATACCAGAAAGCTGCAAGACAGAGTAAGCAATCTTCAAAGAATGAAGACTATTCCAGATCATAGGCTTTGTAGGCAATTAGTTTTGAACTCCAGTTCTGAATTACAGGATATTCAGTGGCCCAGTAATGGAACATCAGCCAAGGCACTTACGACAGCTCATTGTTTTGGTGATTTGAGCCCTACTCAGTTGCAAAAACAAAACATGTTATCTCACATCCCCACAGTGAGCTCTGAAGTGATTCATCTGTACACTCCAAAGTTCACCTTTCACTTCAAAATTCACCTTACACATGAGAGAACTTCCTTTGTTAAAGTTACACACCTCTGAATTTGCAGAATGGTGACCTGTAGAGCAGCAGTGAGACAATAGTGCCTTTTTACCCAAAACTCTTCTCCTAGAAGAGATGCTACCACTGATCTGTTCGTACCACGGATCCCTCTCTGGGATAGTCCCAAGTCCACTTTGGCTTAGGTTTCTGGTGTGGCAGGCACAAACTGATTATGACAACCCAGGAATTTGTAGGGGGAAGAGGGCAACATGCTGTTAGTGATGTTTGTGGAAACTGCTGCGTGTACGGTACAAGGAAGATTGCAGCCAGGTGGGGGTTGGCCTCTTCTCCGAGGGAACTAGTGACAAGACAAGAGGAAATGGCCTCAAGCTGCACCAAGGGAAGTTCAGGTTGGACATCAGGGAGAACTTCTTCACTGAAAGGGTCATAAAACATTGAAAGGGGCTGTCCAGGGAGGTGGTGGTGTCACCATCCCTGGAGGTGTCCAAGAAACCACTGGACATGGCACTTAGTGCTCTGGTCCAGTTGACAAGGTTATGATCCATCAAAGGTTGGACACAATGATCTTGAAGTTCTTTTCCAACCTAAATGATTCTATGATTCATAGTATCATACTATGTGAAGGGTTTGGAATGGACCTTGGAGACTATCTAATCCCAACCCCCTGCCCTGGGCAGGGACACCTCCTACCAGAGCAGGTTGCTCAAGGCTTTAGCCAGCCTGGCTTTGAACACTGCCAGGGTTGGGGCAGCCACAACCTCCCTGATTCTATGAGTCTGTTGGTTTATCATTAGTAGAAATTACTTTGCAGCTCCAAAGAATTTCAGATGGGTGTTACTGTTGCACACGTAAATCTATGAGCCAGATATTGATTATAAGGCTTTTTAAAGAGATAAACATGTTAGATACCACCAAGAAACCTGTCATGGTTGCTGGAAGACAAAAGCAGTTGTTTAGGGCTACCACCCCTACATGTTACATGATATTGTATTGTCTATTTTATCAGGTCCTCAGATCCTAACAAACTCGGTGCTGTAGCCAAATAAAAAGCAGCTACAAAAAAATGTGTGGGAGGTATAGGAAGATAGCCAGCCAAGTTAAAAATAAATGTGGGAAGCAAACCAATATATGTTTGGTCTCACCACTTCTTTGCTACTACAGCAATGAAGCTTCCCAAATCTGGACAATCATAATTCTTTTTACTGCAAGTAGGTTCCCCTCAAGGAAAAATAAACTGAACCTACAAAATCTGTAAGTGGTTGTAAATAATTGCTGAGATTTCAGTTTCATTGTTTGCACATGCTGAAACTCTGCACAGCTGTCAACACTAGGTCCCCAAATCCAAGCTGAACCTCAGAGTCTGGACTCATCCCAGTTTGCTTCACTTTCAAAGTGTGAGCAAGGTTTATGAAGTCAGTATGACAACTCATGTTTAAAGTTAATGGGGAAATAGTAACTTTGCTGTACTGAGATCTAAAAACCCACACTCCGTCACAAAGATAGATGGGAAATAGTAACTTTGCTGTACTGAGATCTAAAAACACACAATCCGTCACAAAGATAGAATTGTGTTTTCCCAGACCAGGGGGAAAGTAATGCTATGCCCTATTCTGGACCTGTTCAGATTGTCTGAAAGAAAGGACTGTACAGATTCACATCTCAAGACAGGGTCCTAGGAAGGACACAGACCCAGCTGCACCAGACCCCACTGCTGGAACTTTGCTGTACTGAGATCTAAAAACACACAATCCGTCACAAAGATAGAATTGTGTTTTCCCAGACCAGGGGGAAAGTAATGCTATGCCCTATTCTGGACCTGTTCAGATTGTCTGAAAGAAAGGACTGTACAGATTCACATCTCAAGACAGGGTCCTAGGAAGGACACAGACCCAGCTGCACCAGACCCCACTGCTGGGCAGATGCTTCCCTGCATGTTCAACAAGCTTTGCCTTGGCAGGGTTGATCCTCTTGGAAGGCTTTTGGCAGAACCAAGTCGGAATTCAAGAAAAAAAAAGGTTTTCAGGACTTTATTCAAAGCAAAATTTACAGGCAAGTTGTACCTGCTTTTGGCTTCCTATTCCCTGCTGATTTAGTCCTGCCCTATTTATAGAGCTGCACTTGGCCAAATGATCAATTTAGCCCCACAAACTAAGAAATCAAGTTTGAGTTTACATGTACGGCATGGCATAATAATCATAATTTCCTCCGGAGAAAATAGTGGGTATCTAATTTCCTTATTTTGTTTCTTACCAATAAAGTGCTCTATAAATGGAAATGTGTCCACAAACCTTCCCAAAATTTCCCCACAAGAGGTTGTTAATCAAGTTGAGTATTCCTAATGTGCCAGGCAATGGGCTGTAATGTTTTGTAAACTCATTAAGGGACAGGGAGTTAAAAGCCCCACAAGTGTAGGCAGAACCTGAATTTACAATGCTCCCCAGAAAAGAATAACTCCAAATAACCCCACTGCCATTGCTGCCACAATGCTGATAAAAAGGATCTTAGTGGTGATAGCTATGAGCTATTGATTTCTATACTCACTGCAATGATGTACCAACAGCTTTACACTCTGGGACATCTGACAATCACTTGACGAAGTGTTGATGCCCATCATCAGGTCAGCTTTATTAATTGTTCATGGAATCATAGAATGGTTTGAGTTGAAAGGGACCTTAAAGATCATCTTGTTCCAACCTCCCTGCCAAGGACAGGAACACCTTGCACTAGCCCAGATGCTCCATCCAGGCTGGTCTTGAACACTTCCAGGAATGGGGAATCTACAACCTCTCTGGGCAACCAGTTCCAGTGCATCACCACCTTCACAAAAAAAGAATTTCTTCCTAATATCCAATATAAACCTCTCCTCCAAAACCTTCTTTTGCCAGTCTAACCCTCGTCAGCCTGAAAAGAGTCGGGGAGAGGGTGCGATTTTTCCATCCATCCCAGGTGATTCTCGCGGAGAGCTGCGGGGCTCCCTCTCCCGCAGCGCCAGCCGCGCTGCCGGGCTAGCAGTGACATCCTGTGGTGACGAAGGCAATCGCCTCGCGGGCTCTGGTAGCCAGCCTGGAGCAAGCAGAGATCCTCCCCTGCCTTCCCCGGGGCACAGCCAGCTCGTAGGGAATCGCTTTGCCTATCAGCTTCAGCAGGGGTGTCTACTCAGTTTGTCATCTCAGCGCTTGATCAATCAGAGATGCAGCATTAGCAGGAATTTGATAGGTTTTCACCCAGGAGTTCACAACCTGCTGGGAGTTGTAGTCCTTGCTTTTAACACCTAAGGTCAATGCCCTTTCATGCATCTGGCCACTGAAATGGGCAAGCTCACACAGCCAGGCAGTACTGAGCATCTGGGGAAAAATTGTAGGAGGGGAAGTTTAGGTTAGATATTAGAAAAAAGTTTTTTCCCTGTGAGGGTGTTGAGGCACTGGCACAGGTTGCCCAGGGAGGCTGTGGCTGCCCCGACCCTGGTGATGTTCCAGGCCAGGCTGGATGAGCCTTGAGCAACCTGATCTAGTGAGGTGGTGTCCCTGCCCAGGGCAGGGGGTTGGGACTGGATGATCTATAAGGTCCAATCCAACCCTTAAATTCTATGATTCTATGATCTTAGGATGCTGGGAGGAGGGACATGGAAACTGGTACATCCTTTTTGCCCTCCTGCAACAGCCTGAAAGAGTCCAGCTAATAGGAAAAATTCTCTCACCTCATCTGGCTTACCTGATTTCATTTTGATATGTAGATTCTAGAAAGGAAAACAAATATATAAATAAAGGAATGTGTTTAAAATGCTCGAAAGTAAAATACAAACTACCATAGAAACTTCCCTTAAAGTGTGCCCTGTGTTACAGCTACCACAGGAGCATCTCTCCTCCCTGTTTACAAAGTTGTGCAGCCCTGGAGAACATCTTACAGAGAAACTGAAATAGGGCACACAACACTGAAGATATTCTTCAATGAAGAACTTCAGCATAGGAAATAAAAGTCTTTGGAAGTTAATGTGCTGCCAAAAAAACATGGCCCTCCTCTAGTTAACACGAAGGGCTGACACAGATTGCTTTGGAATCAATCTATGAGAGAAACAGGAAGGTGAAATTAAGGAGCATCTTAACCAGGTGAGGGTTAAGAGCAGGATCTGTGTGCTCACACTTCTGCTTACAGGTTTTTGTACAGCACCAGAGCTGACACAACTAGGAGGTTTGTATCTAATGGAAGACACTTTATAATCAACTGTGAAGCTCCACTTACCTCTCTCCTTTAGGCAGTAGCAGCGTACAACAAGCACAATAATAGTGATCAGAAGAACAATACCAACAAATGAGAGCACAACTGCAAGTACAATAGTCCACGTGTTCCCGTTGTCATTACTGTAAGAATTTTCTGTTAAATTAAATGGAGAAACATTGTGCTGTCAGAGCCTCAAAACATCCTTTTCAGAATATACACATTTCTATGACATACTATTAACTGCTTGTTGGTTATTTAACAAGGTGTCTGTGTTTTCCAAATGACAGACTCTGTATTTATGGATGGTGCCCAAGAATCTACAATGTTTACAAATTCTTTATTGCAGTTATAACTTTTCCCACTGCTACTTCTCTTCTGAAAAACACAGGGTTACAATCTTCCAACCTAACTTTATTTCTCCATCTCCCAACATCCTTAGGAGCCATTCCTGGTCAGGGAGAGGGGTTAAGATTCAATTTAGATGCCTGTGCTGCAGCTCTTAAGTGTCTTGCCTAGCTGCTTTTGTCAGTGGAGAGAAAATAGGTTTTTGAGTTGCAATTTATTTAACCAAATGTATATGGGTCCCTTTAGATAAGCTGAACTGCTCCAAAACTGTCCATTTCTCTCCACAGGCCACAGCAATAGTCTTAGCTGACTAATACAGTTGGTGATCTCTAGCCTGGAGATAAGAATTTCTGATGAATTCCATCTTGGGATTGCTCACTGATTTCAACAGGTGTTTGATTTTGGGACATGTTTGGTAGGGCATCTCTTACCCACTTACAGAGCAGTGAAGAGTAAAACCTGTAAAGAATACACAGCTACTAACCCACCTTCTCTACCAGTGTTCTCACAACATTGTCTTATTCCTTTGTCCCTGCTGTAATCTACAGAGTTAAATTAGGTGGTTTAAGGATAATTCAATGTTGTGCTGAAATCTGTTGCTGTGACCAAACAGGGCACTCACATGCATGGAATTTTAAAAATACCTTGTATTTAGAATCATAGAATTTTTTGGGTTGGAAGTGATCTTAAAGATCAATTTCCAACCCCCCTACTATGGGTAGGGACACCTTCCACCAGCCCAGGCTGCTCAGAGCCCCATCCAACCTGGCCTGGAGCACTCCCAGGGATGGAGCATATTCCTCACATGGATGAATGCCCAAGGACGATGTCAGTTGTGAATGTGACATCATCCTACCTCTTGCTTTGACCAAATATTCCAGAAGTACCTCTTATCTGGCTAGCCTTTGAACAGCAGCCCCAAAATAATTCAGACAGTTGTTTAGAAACAAGTTTCCAATCCAAATTACAGGTGTGAGACACACCCAAACTCAGCACAGCCCATTCTGTTGCACTGGGTTGATACGATTTTCTTTTCCTCATCAGAGGTCCCAGCATGCAGCAATGAGGGTGACTGGGAGCTGCACAGGGTCATGGCTACTCCCCTAATGTGGGAACCAGGTTTCCTTAAGGCAGGGAATAAACTAAATCCTTTCTATCTACAAATTAGGTGTGTGTTTGGGGTTTGGAGGTTTCAGGTTGTGAAGATATAGGACCAGAGCCTCCAACAAAACTTGAACCTGTGCTAGGAGTCTGCATTCTCCAGAGTCCAGGTCATTATGATTAGGCAATTTGTTCCAGTCTTCTCTAATCTTCATGCTCAATCAGCATGTTTTGAATTTCTTCTGTGAGAAAGACAAGCACTCACTAACCTGAAAACTAGCAGTTAATTCTGTGGGCTGCAACTACATGTGATGAAAATTGGTGATTAACTTGTTCTTAATGTTTATATCTAAGCAGGATATCTGTTTTATATTTTGTTGCATAAACAATGCCACAGGGATTTCAAGATGACTAAAATATGAAAGACAGCTATTTAGCTAGAGGGGAAAGCTCAACCTTAGTGTGAAGTATAGAAGTTCCTACTACCAGATGCAATTAGGTGCTGACCTCAGCACAGCCCTGAGGACATTACCACCATACCACAACAGCTCCATTATATCTGGTCACTGCTCATATGGATTCCATTTGCACCCAAAGTGCTAGTCCAAGATTTATTCTGGCTTGTGTGTGGAAACTGGGAAGGGGTTTTTTTCCAAGTCAGTGGTAAAACTGGTATTGAGTATTATGGAGAATCATTTCATCTGAGGGTTTGGCTTTGAGTAAATGAAGTCTATGAAATTATGTTAATATGACAGGAATGGTCTAATTAAGGATATTTAAGATCTAAATTCCTTAGATATTTATTTGGTCAAGGAGCAAAGGCCAGTTTTCTTAGCAGTGAAGCAATAGTAGGAGTCAGTGGCAAATGTACTGCTTGGTTTGTCTTGCTCAGTCCTAAATTGGGCTTTGTGGTTCATTAGACTTGTACCAGTGCATTTAACCCTACCTATGTATCAGGTTGTGACTACTGGGTCTTAATTCTATCCCCTTTGCACACCTCATAGTATTTTATTTGCAAATAAAAGACTTTTCAAACTAAAACAAAGCAGAACAAACCAGTTCTGAGTACAGGCACTACAGTATAGGCAAAGTACAACAAACATTCTCTTACCTGTAGTGGAGTTGTCAAAAATAAGAGTTACAGTTGCTTTCTGAGGGTTAGGGAGTGCTTCTATGTCAGCTAAGCAAGTCAAAACCTCAGTGTCCGTTGGAGTCAAAGTTAGGATGCTCAGGGCATTGTGGAGACCATTAGATCCTTGACTTTGCTGGTTAACATACCTCGACTTATCAATGAAAGAGTCATTTGCCATCCAGGTAATGTCTGGAGCTGGAGCCCATCCTAAGGCTTCACAAACAATGTCAACTGTTTTGTTCTCTTTTACTGTTAAGGTGCTATTTGTGATGAATAAAGTTCCATTAACTGTAGGAGGGAAAAGATGTTTTGTTCCTTCAGCATATTTTGCAGCATTACTTTCCTGCTGGTAGTTTTCTATCTTATCTTGCTACCCAGAAATAGCTATGCCTTGAGATATGAAGTGGAAAACAATCATTATTAAACACAGATATAGCATATGCATGATAGAAACATGCAGATATTCAACTACACGGACACATTGTCCTATATGTCTAAAGCACAAGCCTCAGCTTTCTGTTCCTTTCCAATAAAAAGCAGGAAATTGTACTTTTTAGCCATCCTGATATATTTCCAGCTGAAATGAAATAATAGTGCTTCTCTCTAAGTTTTGGTGTGCTCAGGTAATATGAGGAAAGGCTATGGGTAGGTGATGAGATGCTATCACTGCACAAAACACCTCTTTGACAAATCATGGGATCATCAAGGTTGGAGGAGATCATCAAGTCCAACCATTAATCTGCCACAATGGATAGTGCCTGGTGGTTAGGTCTTGCTTTGCTGCTGACAATCTGACAAGGAATAAGAGATGCAACAGGACAAAACAGGAGCAGTTATAACCTTTGCTATTAGTACTCTGAATGTGCCTCTAAAACTTGCTTTGACATTAAAACTAAGACAACAAGGACAGAAGGCAAAGGATGGTAAATGAGAGCATGTACTCCTTCCCAGGGATAATTTGAGCAATCCCTCAGAGGATTCTTTAAGTACAATATAACACAATAGTGTTTTACTGGTGGCTATACATACCTTGAACAGAAAGAAACGCAAAGTTGTTCTCACTAGGTTGCTGGATGTTGCATTCAATTATTCCAGAGTCACTCAGCTGGGTGTTGTGGATGATCAGCTCTGAGGTAAACTCATTGCCACTGGTATAATTCTGACAGGTGAAGCGATCTGATGTTTCCACAGATCCCTGAGAATTGATGATGCTGAGGACAGGGCTTCCTTTGGACAGCCAAATGAGAATCATCCATCCTGCTGACACCGTGCAGTTAAATCGAGCTTCTGAGCCAGCAAGGACTGTGGCATTAGCAGGGCCTTTGGTAATGGAGTAACAAAAGCCAAGACCTGAAAGGAAGAAAAAAACAGACCCTATAGACATATGCGAAGGCAAAGACCTGAAAGGAAGAAAAAAACAGACTCTATAGACATATGCAAAGGCCCCACCTAAGTTGGTTTAAGAGATTTAAAAGTCTGAAAGATCTTAACCAGTTCAGAGATGGAGATGTGCAATCTTATATTTCATCTCCAGTTTAGATTAATCACAGAATCATTAAAGTTGGAAAAGACCTCTGAGATCACCGAGTCCAACCTTTGACCTAACACTATCGTACTATCGTGTCCATTGGGATGAGAGGATCTTTAAGGTCCCTTCCAACCCATTAACATTCCGTGATTCTATGCATGTGTCCCACCACACACAGCTCTTCCTCTTCCCACACAGCTGCTGTTGTCTCTTCACTTCCATGCTCAACTCTGCTGCCTTTTGGCCTAGCGCTCACCTACACCTCACTGTGATGGAGATACTCTTTGATGAGGGCATTGAAATATTCTGGTGGCAAGGGACCTCAGGAAGTCTCTAGCCCTCCCCTCTGGTCCAAGCAGAGCTAACTGCACTGTTACACCCATTGCACAGGGCCTGGTGCAGTCAAATTTTGAGTGTCTCCAGGGATGGACATTGCACATGCTCCCTGCACACCAAGCAGTCCTGCCAGGGAGATCTACCTCACCAGTGAGCTTTTCATCACTTGCTGGGAACATTCATGCTGAGGACACACCAGGACTGCCAGTGCTACCCCTAATGATTCCATCTGTACTCTGCATAACGACAGCAATTAGACACTGCAGTCCATAGCAGTCTAATTAAACCTTGTGCCTGCAAATTTGGCCTGAGAATAAGTGTTCAATTATTTTCCAGGAGGAAGGAAGACTGAAATGGTCATTACTCCCTTGCTAAGAGTATTCAGGACAGTCAAGTCATTTTGAAAGGTTTCAACCCAGGTTTTGTATATTTTAGGTAGTTTATTCATTTATGGATTAATGATAAATCACTGCTAAAAATCATTTTTCATTCACTCAACAGCTGACATGAGCAGGGGAGAACATGCCTTGTTGTTTCACACAACAGAGATGTTTGATAGTTGTGAAAATGGAACCAGAGCCCCAACTTAGTTATGACATTGCAACCAGCACCTTGGTGAATGCAACCAGGGCAGAGGGTCTGTAATCTCATTGCTCCAATGTCAACAGCATTTTCTAATTCCCAGCTCACATTTAACCCAGGCACTGTATATCTAATCAGGTTCGTGCCAAGAATTGTTCTTTAATATAAATAGCTCCTATTTTTCCTCCCACCTGCTGCATGTATTTACAGCCAAGAGCCTTTTCATTCTTTGTTTTGCAGGATTATACAAACCCAGACTCTCCCTGGTTCTTTGTATGATTGACTCTGAGTTCCCTCATGTTTACAAAAAGCTTTACAAAAATTTTCCACCTTCCTGGGTTATGTTCCCTCTGCCATGCACCTCCTTCTCCAAAGTATAGCTCTGTGTGAGCAACAAAACACTAAATGAAGAGCAAACTTTACCCACACTGATAGTTCATAAAGCCAGATAAGATACAGTGAAGCATATTTCTGGTCAACTTAAATGGCTCATTTTTTTCCAGCAGCTTTTATTCAAAGACTTTGTCAGACTTGTAAATCTGAACTGAAATGCTTTAAAACATGGAACAGCTTGAAGATGAACTCAGCAACCAAATCTATGTGCATATATGAATATGTTGCTTTATGAAGAGTTTACCCAACAAAATTTCTAAAAGCCAATTGCTCTCTTTTCTATTTGTCCCTTTCTGAATGTTAGGGATGGGCCACATGTCTGTGGATGACATCAGGTACAAAGGTACAGGTCTGCTAATGAACAAGGACCGATGAAGTGCATTCCAGTGAGACCTCTGCCATGTACTGGGTCCCTCTTCCCTGATATTCAACATCCAGTTGTCATGATTTCTATTTATACATCTATTACCAGAGTTGAGACATTCTTCTAAGCCCAAATATGCCTTTGATTTAACTATTTCTTCTCAACTCATATTGTAGCCAACATTTACAATACCTGTACATCTCTGCTGTCTATAACGTATTCATGTGCTCAGTTTATTGATTTTTTACATTTAGTTTGAAGTCTTCCTCGTTGGAAGATTTTATCTCCCATTACAACAGACACAGCCATGAACAACCTCCTCTGAGTTAACACCACAATGCATTTGGTTGCTCATGAAACTGGAGCTGCAGTACTTACTCACTCTGCTCCTCTTAATGCAAACTGATCTCTGTGTATTTGGAATTTATTTCCCTGTGCAAACACCCTCCTTTCTTAAGGAGCCATGGTTTGCCATGGCTCTGAATAAATGATGTACTTGCAGGACAATGCTTGCTGTTAATTAATCATTTGCTATGAGATCATGTCTGTGAGTTCCATTATAACCTTGAAATTTATCCCTAAACAGGAATGATCAGTGACCACTGGCTCTAAAAATACATGGCTAATATTGCTTTTGCTTTCTTCAGACAGTATAGGCAGGTAGGTGTGAGTTATTCCTTCTTTTATCTAATATATTTATCTTTTATCAGTCCATAGGTATGGTAGGGGATCTAGATTTTCCTCCACCAACCATGTCTGCTGGAGCCATAGATGGTCTTTCACTGATTGCTGCCAGCTAGGGAACAGGTCTATAATCATAGAATCATAGAATGTTAAGGGGTTGGAATTGACCTTACAGATCATCTAGTCCCAAACCCCCTGCCCTGGGCAGGGACATCTCCCACCAGAGCAGGTTGCTCAAGATTTTATCCAACCTGGCTTTGAACACTGTGAGGTTTGGGGCAACCACAGCTTCCCTGGGCAACCTGTGCCAGCGTCTTAAGCCCTTTATGGGGATCCTACAGGAGGCAGAGGAACTAAGGAGTGGGACAAAGCTCAACTTTGCCTCCATTTAGACCTCAGTAAAGCCCCAGCACAACCAAAAAAAGAGTTTCATGACCCTTCTTCACCTGAATATTTCTGGTGGGTCTCTTTATCTTCTTGCTTTTATTGTTTATCCTGCAATAGCACGTGGAGTCCTGAACCAACAGTGTGTTCCATTGTCCAACCCTCACACAAACATGGACAAAGTCACTTGTGTGAGGTCAAAGAGGACATTCATGACAGAAATGGGATCTAGACCCAGTTACAGTGCCTTAAGATAGAGCCTTTTTGCTGGACCTTCCTTCTTGCACTAAGGAGGAAATTTTACTGCTACTTTCATTTACATCCTGCTTCAAAATTACCTTGCAGATGGTTGCTTTTAAACAAATTAAGGCCTCAGGGTAGATTTTCATTGCACTTTATAGGAATTGCGTGTTCAGCCCTTCACATCTGTTTTAACATCTGTTTCCCCACACACAACCAGTAAGACATCCCACCCAGGCAAATCCCATCTTTGCCACAGGGAAATGTTAGGCTGTCTCCATGATTACCCCTCAGCTCTTGAAGAACAAAGCTGAATGAGGACACCTTCTTTGAGGGACATCACTAAATGTTTATAGAGCATTCTCCAGTGGTGAAAGTTTGCTTAAATTGTGAAGTATTTATGGTGTCTCATTGCTCAGCCCTTCCCAACAGCACACAGAGCATTCACCAACCCCTTTATGAGCTGTTCATTCCCTCCTCTGTCATACAAATTCACTGTCACATCACTGCAGGGTCTGAAGACACGAAAATGAACCTCATTCCCTGGATGATGCCTGCACTGAGGGAACCTCATTTGCCAAAGAACCATCCTTGCCCTTCATCAACAAGTTTGTTTCTTCCACGCTTGAACTAACTCTGAAGCCCCACATTTTCATGCTGAAGTTTCAACAACAAAGGCATTGAGACGTGGCTACCTTCTTTTCCTTCTCTCCTCTCCTCTGTGACTCTCTTTCCTTTTTAGTAGGTGACCTATTTGGACGCAGCATAGTGAAGGACAGGATGGGCTTATCCTTGTGCCATAATGATTCCCTTTTATCAGCCTCATTATCATATTTCAAACTAATCTCCCCCTCTACATCCACATTGCCCTTCCACAAACACTGCCTTTTATCCTTCAGTTTTTGTGTCTAGTCTCTGTCTTCCTCCTTTCTCTCTCTGCTATTTCTGTTTCAATTTATACATTTATTTTTTCCCCTTCTAGTCTGTTTTAAATTCCTTTTCACTCTTTAGTCTCTTACTCCCCTCACCTTGCCTTCTGCCCTCCCTACCTCATCACTCACTCACAGCTCCAGCAACAGCTCTGCAATAACCTGTGAAAATAAACAACAATAACTAAATCAACAGCTCAAGTTTATTTCAAAAACCAACAGCCCTGCAGCTGAGCTTTTTTGAAAACCAAAGTAGGCTAGAGCTTGTCAAAGCCTGCAGAGGAGGACTAGCTTGTTTGCTGATGTTAACAAGATTTTTAAATGCTTATAGGATGTTTCTGTCAAGCAGTACCAGACTACTGATACTCAGCAGCACAGATTGCCACCCACCTGCACACAAACCTCTCCACTCCTGACTGTGTCTTTCCCTCTCTTATCTTACTCACTGTTTGACAGCTGTCCCTGTTAGAACTTCCCAGTGTCCAAAAATAAGAGATCTAGGGACTTCCTGAGCCAATAATTGCATCTGCACCTATGGATCTACCTGGAGTGTTATTGGTTTCTAGCTTTTTTCAGCCTGTTTATAATTGGGTATTCCCCATATCCACTGACCATGGGATTTATCATTTAATTACATACTGTGAGGAAAAGTACTGTCTTTGGGTCACTTTCTATCTTATGATTATTTTACTGAATGCCACTAGATCTTTTTAGTATGAGAAATTGTGAATAATTCACAAGTCACTTTCATATGATTAGTTATTTTAATACATTTTTATTATTTATTCTTTTTCACAAGCAGAAAAATATTCCAGTCTGATGAAGGCTCCTCATCCTTTCCTCTTTACCCAGAGCAACTGTGGCTGCTCCTCCCTGGGAGTGTTCCAGGCTAGGCTGGATGGAGCTCTGAGCAACCTGGGCTAGTGGAAGGTGTCCCTGCTCATGGCAAGGGGTGGAATTAGATGGTCTTTAAGGTCTCTTCCAACCCAAACCATTCTATGATTCCATACCTTTGACACCTCCATCACACTTTATACCTTTCTGAAACACAGTATGTCCTTTCTGAAATGGAAGTGTTAAAACAACCAGTATTCAAGACATAACCTTTCTGTGGATCTGCAGAATGCCAGGCTTCATTTTATCCACCTTGCTGAAGGCACTAAGTGGTGAAATTTTCTCTCTTTTCCAGCAATTTACTCTCTTTCCAAGAAATCTACTCTTTTCCCCCTACAAGACAGTTAAGTGATGTTTTGCATTGAATGCTTTCTGCACTTTTATTACTCACTTGGCATCATGACATTTTTTGGCAAATCTTCCTAGTCTCTTTTTGGATTTGGCTGCCCTAAGTAATTCTGCACCACCTGCAAAGTCTGCCACCTCACAGCTCACTCCTCTTCACCAGGTTGTTTAAGAGCTTGTTGAATGCCACACATCCCTGTGCAGTTCCACTGGGAACAGCACTCTGCCCAGAAAACTCAGTGTTTATTCCTTTCACCTATTCTTAAGCCATGACAATACCTTCCCTCTCATTCCACTGCAGTTCCCTCCTGTCAGAGCCTGTTAAAACCTCAGCTAGACTATTATTTAAAAAAAACCAAAAAACAACCTTGTCTCCATTACCCAACTCATCACTTTATATTCACATTTTCTTCAAAGCTTTGCCACCAAGACACATTTAATCTGAACCCACTTTGAAACTCTGGCATGTGAAATGTGAATTGGAGGTAAACTAGCAACATGATAATTTGCACATATTTCTGGAAGCAGAACCAGCTGCTGATAATGAGTTTTCTATAGGTGTTAAGTTCTTTATAGATGCCTCCTCAAAAAACCAGTTCCAAACAGGAGGAATAGGAATACCAAGAGGGAGAAACTGGAAATGAAAGAGGGCACCCTCTCCATCTCCTCCCCACCCCACACACTGCTCAGCCTTGCACACTAAAGACCACTCTAAGTCAGCAGATCATTTATGTTTGAAATGCAAACTTCACCATTTCAAACAGTCTAAATAATCCCACTCTGGGCCTGACTGTCCAGTCTGATCTCACCAGCAATGGCCATTTACGTGGCTTTAAAATTAGTTCATATATTTAGCCCACAGTGGCTCATTTCACAGGTTATGAACATGTCCTACCTGGTAGTGATGCAGTTAAGATGAGAAGAAGTAAAATGAGTTTCTGGAACATCTCCATTGGAGCATTCTCTCCTGGTCCCTAAGGCAGAAAGCCACCAGTGGTCACTGCATACTTGAGATGAAGTTGAAGGACAGAACTTCTGCAGCAACTCAGGAATGAGCTGCTGCTTTGAGTCCTCCGATAAGATGTGACTTTGTGTGACCTGTATTACCAACAAGGGGAAAAGATTAAATGAGGGAGGGTTTGGGAGGAGAGCAGAATCTTTTCTCAAGCAACTCTTTCAAAAGGCATAGAGGAACTTTCTTCAGCAGAAACACCTCTCCCTATGGACCTCATATCCCTCATGCCCTTAGTCTCTCCTGGCTACTACAACACTACTGCTTCAGGACTGACTGGGTCAGGAGAGCTCCAGCTGCATCACTAGGGTTAATCATGAGCAAGTGGAAACAATCATGCTCTGAGCTGCCCACAATTGTGTGTGTCTTGTGGAACCACTACAAGGGATCCTGGCAGACTAATGAACCCTGTGTTCCATCAGTTACTGCCATGCAGGGCACCAGCTGCTCCCTTGGGTTTGGAAGGGCACAGACCTCCATTTGGAGGGGCTGTTACCCCCGGGCAGGAAACTGATGCCTCCTGTGCCAGGTATCCTTCAGGAGAGGACATGGGAATATATCCCAATGCACCACTACACCCAAAAATAGTTGTTTTGATGTATTTCTGTGTGCTTTACCTCAAAACTAGGATTCCTATTCATATCCTGGGAGAGCTTGGTGCCATAGGGGCCACCCTGACCTGGAGGAACAGCTCCTGCCACCCTGGACTGTCCCTTTCACCTGACATGGGGCAACGATGAGAAACATCAAATCTCCTCCCAGCTCCCCAGACTGAGTGCTCTGAAAGGTTGATAGTGCCAAGACGGTCCCCAGAGTTATTTCTCTGAACCTGAGAGTGCTTCCTGCATCCCAAAATAAAACACCACCAGGTCTCCACTGTGCTCAGAGACAATATACAGAGCCTGGGTGTGAGACACCACCTTCCTCCTGCATTTTCTGCTTTTTTTCAGTTTGTGATTCACTTGTCTGCTATTATTCTCCTCCCCCTCAAAATATGTGGGTGAGAGTTTGACTGTGCTGCTTGGTTGACAAACTTCTCAGCTGGGAGAAACTGAAGCTTGCTTTCGTGAAAGGGACATGGCACAGAGGATGTGGTTTTGTGGCCAGACCAAATGCCTTGTCAGGAAAGTGTTTTAGATTTCAGGGGTGTTCATTGTGGCAACCCTGAGAAACGCCTAAAAATTAGTATCACCACAAAAAATTGGGATCACCACAGAGACACTCTGAGTTTCCTGTTCAGCTGCAGCTGAGGCTATACCAGAGCTCTGTTCCCTGCCTGGATCCAGACTGGCATCCTGCTCCACATTTTCCTGGTTTATAAGCTTTCAGTTTACTTTGAGAACTTAAAGGACAACCCCTGTCAACTAATCAACATTTTAAGCTAAACCTATGGGCTGATTTCTTCACCTGCTTGTTCACAGGGTAGTTTGGGTTTACCCAGTGCATTTGGAAAGGTTTTGGGTTTTTTCTCACTTCCACTTTTCATGCGTGGAGGAGTCCCCAGCAGGTAGCTGGGAGTCACCGTGCACAGCCTGCAGGGATTTCTGTCACTGTCCTGGCTCTCAGCACGTACACAGATCAGGAAGCAGCTGTAAGAGTTAATACTACCTGTCATATGAAGCAAAACAGCCCAAGTGAAGCACCAGGAAACAAATCCAAAAGTCAGGGCTGGGTCCTTTTCAGGAAGCTGTGATCCCAAGCAGGATCTATGTGACTGGAGAGAACCTGCTTTCATACCTCCACTTACAAACCCAATATAAGCTGAGCTGGGCAAAGTTTTATGGCAAAAAAATAAACTGGAGAGAATCTGCTGCCCAAATCCAGGCAGAGATCAGTAAACAGCTTGGGGTGAAGCAGAGCGTGACGGGAAAGGGAGGGATCTATAACGTTTTGTTTTGCTTTGTTTCCAAATGGGCTTTGTAAAGGGCTAGGAAATATTACCTGATTCCCAGCTGAAACAGGATATTTTGGCTGAGGATGAATTAAATGCCTGGGGTTTGTCCTGTGCTGCTTTTCACCTCCTCCACAGGTGCACTGGGGGACTCAGTGCTGCTCTCAGCCTGCTCCCTCCCTCATCCATGCCACAGGCAAGGGGATCATAACAGCAAAATACCTCCCTAGAGGAATAGCTGCTGGATCCAGCCTGGCACAGAGTGGGACTCAGATGCTTTGGGCAACCCCCGAATGCCAGGAAGCACCACAGGAGTTAGGGGCACAAAACATCCCTGCTCACCCCACTGCCACCAGCCCCAGGCAAGGGAAAAGGGTTAAAGTATCTTTCAGCAGCTCCTTCTGCTGGGAAGTGAATAAAGGCTCTGGAAGGGTTACCTGGATCACATCCCTGGGTGCCAAGAGGGTGTCTCCCACCGCTTTCTTTTTGCCAAGAGGGTGTCTCCAAATGTTTTCCTTTTGCCAAGGGGGTGTCTCCCACGTCTTTGACGACAGGTCGAGCTCACACACTTCTCCCAGGTGCCGCAGGTGGACGGAGGTGTTCAAAGCAAGGAGCCCAGGGCCATCCCTCACCTGCTCTGCCAAGGAAAGGAGAGAAGGAGCTCAACCTCAGCCGCCGCTGGGCCCCAGGGCACACACCTGCCCTGACACTGTCCCCAAGGTACGTCAGGATGGCCTCTCCCTCTCCCTCCGCCCGAATCATCCGTCGCCCCGTTAATGTTTAACCGGTGCCGCAGGAGGAAGTGAGGCACAGCCAGAGACACACACGGCAGCAAAGTTCACACCATCCGACCCAGGAGCTGGATGGGTGCCACGGCTGATCCTCCCCGGAGCAGGGGACACTGCCTGGCCGAGCTGCGACACCGCTCGGAGAGAGCTGAGGTTTGTTCTTCCAGGTGTACAACGGCACAGGTGAGTGTGGTGGTGCCTGGCACCGATTTTCCCATGTTTTAATGGCACAGGTGTTCCCCAGTATAATAACACAGATTAGTGTGACGGTGCCTGGCACCAATTTTCCCCTGTTACAATGGCACAGGTGAGTGTGATGGTGCCTGGCACTGATTTTCCCCTGTTACAATGACACAGGTGAGTGTGATGGTGCCTGGCATGAATTTTCCCCAGTATAATAACACAAGTGAGTGTGGTGATGCCTGGCACCAATTTTCCCATGTTTTAATGACACAGCTAAGTGTGATGGTGCTTGGCACTGATTTTCCCCTGTTACAATGACACAGGTGAGTGTGGTGGTGCCTGGCACCAATTTTCCCATGTTTTAATGACACAGCTAAGTGTGATGGTGCTTGGCACTGATTTTCCCCTGTTACAATGACACAGGTGAGTGTGGTGGTGCCTGGCACCGATTTTCCCCTGTTACAATGACACAGGTGAGTGTGATGGTGCCTGGCATCAATTTTCCCCAGTATAATAACACAGATTAGTGTGACGGTGCCCGGCACCAATTTTCCCCTGTTACAATGACACAGGTGAGTGTGCTGGTGCCTGGCACTGAGGCTGGAGTGTGTCTTGCTGTTACAGCACTGCAGGCAATGTGGCAGAGGGCAGAAGTGCCTGTGCCAGCTATGTCCTGGCCAATGACCACTGTCACCCCCAGCCAGGGGTGCCAAGGTCCATCAGCAGCCCCTGACAGGGTGAGGAGCTGAGCCAGGGCCAGGGAGAATCCAAGGGGTCCAGTCAGAAGCTGAAGGAGATGGGGCAGGGGAAGGACTGGTGAACAGGACTTTGTAAAACTTTTACATGTGAAATCTTTACATGTAAAGCTTTTACATATAAAGCTTCACATGGAGCTAAGGGGCCCATCCAGGGGACAAGGCCAGGGACAGAGATGGAGCAGGCTGTGACATCACTAGGACAGAATCACACAATCACACAATCATTTAAGTTGGAAAAGACCTCTGAGATCATCAAGTCCAACCTTTGACCAAACATCACCTTGTCAACTAGACCAGAGCACTAAATGCCACGTCCAGTCTCTTCTTAAACACAGTAACAGTTGTATCAAGTAGAAATTGATGCCACACTGACTCAAAATGAAAAGTTTCAGCTCACCAAAGGGAAACAAAACATTCTGTTTCAGAAAAAAATATTACCCTGACTTGTTAGCTATGAAACCTGCAGGAAGATTATCTTTTTTAGCAGTTATAATTCTTTTCTTATTACTTCCTTGCTTTTACAAACACCTCATTTTTTAAAGTCTGAAATCTCACACTCAAGTTCCACCATCAGTCCTACTTCATAACAGTGTTCTTGAAACACCTTCTGTATAGTTTTGTCCAAATAAAGCTAGAGGAAGAAAAGGGATAACATCTAATAAGCAAATTCCTTCTCTGGTTGCCCAAGTAGGAAAAGTGCAGAAGGTAAAATGGATTGCGTGGATTTTTGCCTTGAATTAATAAAGATAACTGTTCATAAAAACAATTTGGAAAGCATAATAGCTGCTTTTAAGACCTTTAGAAAACTCATTTGGCACAACTGAGAAGAGATTGGCTCTGTCATCTTTGTAATTGCTGTCAGGTAGATTTAAGCTGCTATTAGATCACCCCTTAACCTCTTTTCTGCCAAACTAAACCCTTGCTCCCTCAGCAGCTCCTCACTGGTGCTGTGCTCTACACCCTTGTCCATTGGACGTTCTCTGTCTTCTCTACAACCTGCTTGAACTGAGGGGCACAAAACCACACACAGATTCCCAGATGTGTCTAGTAGGGAGGAACAATGTTTTATCTGAATTTGCTGGCAATAATTCTCTGAATGTTCCCTAGCTTTCTGTTTGCATTGAGAGGGCAATGTTGGCTTGTGTTCACCCTGATGTTCCTTTCACCCAGATCTCTTCCTACCCACTGCCACGTAGGCAGTCCCACTGCAGCTCATACCTTGAGGCTGTGGCACCTGATGTGCAAAACTTTGTGCTTCTTCATGCTGGATGTCATGATGTTTCTTCTGGCTGAGTCCTCAGGCTTATCAAGGTCCCTTTGG